CCTACTGAGGAGAGATCTTCCTTCTCTTTCCTGCAGCGGCATAGAGCTCCATTGCATGTATGGACCATAGTCCATTCAATCACCTATGCTTAGGAGATTAAGGTAGTTTCCAATATTTCCTAATTACAAATAATATCACAATAAATACTGTGCACATGTATTTTAATATTATTAAAGGTATATCTTCAGGGCAAATTCCTAGAAGTGAGGTTGCCAGGTTGAAGTGTAAATGCATACATAGATTTGTTAGAAATGCCAAATTCTCCTTCATAGCTGCACGCCATTTTGCATTACCACCAGCAATGTATGAGGATGCCTGTTTTGAAACAGCCTCACCAATAGCGCACTGTCAAGCTTCTGAATTTTTGCTAATCTGATGGATGAAAAGTTGTACTGGCATATCTAAAAAAAAATAGCTTTGCTGAGGTAGAATTTATATATAATAGTAAAATTTACTAATTTTAGGTATATGGTTTGATAACTTTGCTTAACCCAATGTCACAAAAGTTTCTTCTGGAATTTTAGTTCTTACGTTTAGATCTGTAATCCATTCAGAGTTAGTTTTTGAATATGAAATGAGGTAGTGGTTGAGATTCAATTTTTCTCACACTAATATTCCCTTGTTCTAGCACCATGTATTGTAATGAGCAGCTTTTCCTCATCGAATTGTCTGTGAATGTTTTCAAATACCAAGTGACCCCAAGTGAGGGCCAATTTCCACTGGTATCAGATTGCTGTTAGCTCCAGGCTTAAAACACTCGGAACAAGAAATTTAGTTCACACAGTTCCCCGCTTCCCAGAGGAGCAGCTTCTCTGCGTTCATGTTCCAGTTCCTTTGGTTGTTGCTTAGTGTGTAATGTCCAGGTTTTAGAGTTGTTTTCTCTTGGAAAATGTCCTCTGCAAGTGTCTTGCTCAGTACTAGAAGCTGGAAGTCCTGTCTCAATGTAGATTTAATTGGTATTTCTCTTATTATGAGAAAGACTGAATATCTTTTCATGTTTCATATGACCTTTTTATAACTTTTTTGGTGAGTGGTCTGTTCATGTCTTTTACCCATTTTTCTATATAATTTTTGGTTTCATCTAAACTGTTAAAACTTCTGCTTATAATTTGTGTATATGGATGCAATTGAATTTTGCATATTAATTTTTTTAAAAAAATTTATTTATTTGGCTGCATTGGGTCTTCGTGGCTGCGTGTGGGCTTTCTCTAGTTGCGGCAAGCAGGGGCTACTCTTCATTGCAGTGCGCGGGTGTCTCATTGCAGTGGCTTCTCTTGTTGCGAAGCGTGGGCTCTAGAGCACAGGCTCAGTAGTTGCTGCACACGGGCTTAGTTGCTCTGCAACATGTGGGATCTTCCCGGACTAGGGCTCGAACCCATGTCCCCTGCATTGGTGGGCGGATTCTTAACCACTGCCCACCAGGGAAGGCCCTTGCATATTAATTTTATATCTTGCTGGCTTGTGGATTTTTCCAATGAGTTAGTTTTATCATTAATTCTCTAGAGTTTTCTGGATTACTATTATGTTATCTGCAAACAGAGATAGCTTTATTTTTTCTTTTCCAATTTGTATGTCCCTAGTTGTCTTTCTAGTCTAACTGCATTTTCTTTTTTTGTGCTACTTTTATCAGGTTTAGGCATTAAATGTTATACTTGCTCCCAGAAAAGAATTTGGAAATTTTCTTTCTTTCTTTTCTTTTTTTTTAATACTCTGAAGCCATTTATGGGGGATTGATTGCCAGAGGTTTGGTTAGATTCCCCTGTGAAACTATTTGGCCTGGTCCTTTTCTATAGGGTGTCTTCTTGGTAACTTTATTTCTTCTATAGAAATTAGTATATTAAACTTTCTATCTCTATTGAGGTCAGTTTTGGTAAACGATATTTTCCTAAAACATTTTAATAGGTGAGTTAATCCCAGTTATGTTAATTAAGATGACTATTATGTTCAGTCTCAATTTTGTCATACTGTCTTTTGTTGAAATTATTGTGTATATTTACTGCATTTCTTCATTCATGTGTCCCTTTTACTTCTTTAAAAAGATTTGGTAATTAGGAAGATGTGTATTTTCATTCTACAGGTTACATTTGTATTATTGCTTTTTATAGTGCCTGATATTCCCTCAATCTTTACCTCATCTTTTTAATATTTGGTGTCAGTTTTAAATAATATTCAGTGACTATTATACTTTACTCATACAACAGAATGATCTTATGCTATTTTCCCTTTTTTTCTCCCTTCTCCTCTCATTAAAAATAAAATTGCACCTTTGATTTTTGTCAGACATGTAATGTTTACACATTATTCTTTTACCTGTGAACTCACTCTCACTTTAGTCTCAGCTATAAAATAACAGATAGGAAATGCTCACAGTTTGGAAATTCTTGTCAAAGTTATCCCAGGCATTTTTTGGCTGGGTGAAACTCACCTCTCCCAGATTCCTCAGGAATACTACATGTGTACATTATGCTCTGAATACTGGCACATTTTAAACTGTTTTTCTATGGCCTTGATATCTGGGAGTCAACTTGGTGGTATACAATATTCTTGGTTTACACATTCTTTCCTTTAGTTTCATGAAAATATTGCTCCACTAATGCCTTACTTTGTATGTTGTGCCAAGAAGGCTGATGCTGGTCTAATTCTATTGCCTTTGTAAGTTACTTGACCTTTTCATTTGAAGGCACTTTGTATATTTTTTTCTCTATCTTTAAAGTCTACTAGTTTTACTAGGATATGTCCTATAATTGATCTTTCCAGGCCAAATTTCCCCACTACCCATTAACAATGTTAGGTCATCTTATTTCTGAAAAGTTTTCTTGGATTATAGTTCTAAATATTAGTGCTGTTCAGTTGTTTTGATTCACTTTTTTAAGAAAATATTTTACTTCTTTATTTCATTCTTATTTTTCTGGTTTTCTTCAATGCCTTTTCAGTTGATTATGTTCTTCCTTGGGAAACCTGTAATTTAGTTTTCATTTCTGGTATCATTTTGTCTTTTTCTTCTCTTTCTTTCCTAAGTTTTATCAACTCTCATTTCATTTATTCCTGTTTCTTGTCATTTTCTAAGTCAGTTTTAAATTTCTGATTTGAGGTGTTTTTTTTCTTAATGCCAAATGCTTGTTTGAGGATATTAAATGGAGTTTGCAGTGATGTGTTACAGTTTTTGTCAGCTTTGTGGCTGAATTGTTTTGGAGTTTTCATTAGGAGGAAAGCTTTAATTCACATTGTCTGATTTTTACAGTTGTCTTGTAATGACAGGGACAGATTTTTTTTTTTTCCAATTCCTTTGTCTTTCATAGAAAGAGTTCTTAGTTCAACAGCACCCTCTTCTGTGCAATTTCTTTTATGGATCATGTTGTTGACGGTCATAGTAGAGGGTAGATAGAGGAGGTTTGGTATGTCTTGTTTCTCTTTCATTTCTGCAAGATCCTTAATTTTCCCCTCTTATTTCCTTGTTTCTCTTTATTTCCTAATCTCCAAGGGATACCACCCCTTCTCTATTTGATTCTTCCCCAGAAGCAATGATTCTCGAAGGCTGCCACTTCTGGTTGCACACACTTTCTCAAGTCCTGAGAACCACAAAAACCTGTCCTCTGTTCAGTATTTTGGCATTAATAGTTGCATTTTTCTCTTTCTGGGGGTGATTTTATTTTTAGTATTTCATCTAATTGCTCTGTTTCTCCTTATTCTTTTTCAGAGTTTTTAAGCCTTAACTCCTCTGCTCTTCGTACCCCAGGTTTCAGTGGCAGGCAAGTTGCAAGAATTTGTTGGAATTTTTAAACTCTATTTGTATGTAGCTTGAAGGTTCTGGTGTTCCCTGTCCAATAGCCATATTTAAGGTATGGGTCCTGGGAATTCCCTGGCAGTCCAGTGGTTAGGACTCAGTGCTTTCACTATCATGGGCCTGGGTTCAATCCCTGGTTGGGGAACTAAGATCCTACAAGCCAAGTGGCACAGCCAAAAAAACCCCCAAACAAACAAACAAAAGAAACCAGTATGGGTCCTGTATGGTTTTATTTTGCTCTGTAAATTTTATGTTTTCTGGGAGGATAATGTTGGGGAGATTCAAGATCAGGATTGCCACTGATCTATAACAATGGTCTCTTAACTTCCTACTCTTATTAATATTTTATTTGTTACTTGTGTCTCTATTTCATGATGATGCTGTTGTATTTTTTTGCTGTAAGTTACTTAAAATTCTCTGAAGAATCATGCAGAGTGAAAATTAATTTTTTTAAATTTAATTAATTATTTTTGGCTGCATTGGGTCTTCATTGCTGTGCGCAGGCTTTCTCTAGTTGCAGCGAGCGCGGGCTACTCTTCATTGCGGTGCATGGGCCTCTCATTGCGCTGGCTTCTCTTGTGGAGAATGGGCTCTAGGCACACAGGTTTCAGTAGTTGTGGCACATGGGCTCAGTAGTTGTGGCTTGCAGGCTCTAGAGCGAAGGCTCAGTAGTTGTGGCACATGGGCTTAGTTGCTCCATGGCATGTGGGATCTTCCCCGACCAGGGATCAAACCCGTGTACCCTGCATTGGCAGGTGGATTCTCAACCACTGCGCCACCAGGGAAATCCCAAATTTTTACTTTTCATTATTAAAAAATAAAATTAAAAAATGCTCTGCTTTGGAGGTTTTTGTTTTTTGCTTGCTTTGTTTTTATCTTTAATAAGATGAGTATGAATAACAGAAGAAAAGAAAAAGGGAAAATAAAAGAGAAAGAAAAAAAGAAGAGAAAAGCAATGAGATGGGTCATTTCAGTCCATAGATATCTGGCTTTGAAAGCAATTTCCAAGAGGAGTTTTAACATTTCCTTTGGTAGCAGGAATTCAGCATGGGTACAGCCCCTGTGAGTGACTGCTTTTAAGATCTATACTATTTTATACTATACTGTTTACATCTGTAAGCTCTGGGATATTATACAGCATCAATGCTTTGTAATTATACCTCATATGTTTATGCACACATATACAAAACACATATATACAATACATACACTTACTTGTTTCACATTTTGGAGTTCTTCTGTCAATTGTTTCCTTTGCCTTTCCGATTGAAATAATTTTTCCTATATTTAAAAACCACTGAATTAATAACTTGTTATGAAGGTATCAATAGGTATGATATTTAGGGCTTTGTTTCAAAGCTTATAAGCTCCCCAAACATCCAATTTCTACAATTTGAAAATGTAGTTCCCAGTCATTTTTCTGGCTTTACACATACCATCTAAAAGTAATTAGTTATTTACAGTATAATTGTGGTGATATAAACATATTTTCTGTTACTATAATTAGTCACTTTTTTTGGAGGGGGGTCCGGCACCATGCAGCTTGCAGGATCTTAGCTCCCTGACCAGGGAATGAACCCAGGCCACAGCAGTGAAAGCCTGGAATCCTAACCACTAGCTACCAGTGGACTCCCTGTTAGCCACTTTTTAAAACCTCAAAATCCAAGGTCCAAAATAAGTCAATCAGGATCAGAATGTATAAATATTAACTAAATGTTGGGTAATAGCTATCATTGCCAAAGAGCTTGCAAATTGAAGAGCATTATTATTACAACTTAGAGTGTCTCTTACTATACTAAAGAGGACTATGAAACTGAGTTAACTATTATTTTCTTAATTTAGTTTATTTTTGGAAGATTATCCATAAAACTGAAGATATGACTGGTGTAACCAAAATATGAAATAATAGTTACTAAGGAAGAATAACATCAGGCATGTCAATCAAATATTAAAATCTTTGAACTTAAAATTCAGTCGAGCAAATATCCTAAAATGTTCAATTTCGTTAAGTATGTCATAAATAAATCTACATGTTTTTGATCAAATCAGAGATACTAAGAGTAATTTAAGAACCATTTTACTATAAACGCAAGCAGAGGAATTGCTGGAAGATTATATTGAGTGGTAAATATTCATGGCAGCATTGCAAGGTTTACAGGAAGCAATTCGCTTTCTGTTATACTTCAGCTCATTCTTGTCTAACAGATGAAATGAAAGTACATGACAATGAATATAATATAGCAATCTAATGAATCTGCCACAGACAAGAAGTCAAGAAACTGCTGGCTCCTGGGTTTTATGCAAGTCACCTTCACTTTCTGTGTCCTAGTTTTTTGCATCTGTAAATGGAAAATATATCTATTTTCATTCAGCTTTGCAAAGCAGTAGCAATGTGAACTCTGCAGAAAGACTTTAAATGAGGCCCATGGCACTTTTAAAAATCATTCTTGCAAAATAAAAATTAGCCATTGGTATCAAATTTTCTTGGCTTCATTTTTCTTCGTACCTCAAATCAGACATGAAGAATAGAGATGTCACAGGATAATGGGAAGTGATGAGACCATCTACACACTCCCTGAACTTCATTTAACAACCTCTGTTATTTGTGTGAGTGTGTGTAATATCAATACAAGCAGAAAAACTCAAAAGTGCAAACATTATCTCAAATGAAATATTTATTGCTTTGTACAATCTTTTCTATAGTTAAACAAGTGGTTCTCAGCCAATAGATAGGTTCTCAGGTAAAGGAAATTATAAAATATAGAATATATTTTACCTGTGCTTTTAGGTTTTGTCACAGTAGGGTATGCTCAGTTACATCTCAAAAATTTTAAATGTGAATCCTGATTTACTGAATAGCTCCTCAGGAAAACTTTGTTTAAATGTTAAATTAAATTAAAATTCTAATAATTACTACTGATATTCCAATAAAAAACAGGAAAATATCACTAAATTTAACAATGATAAACATTAGGGAAATAAAAAAGATCTGAGAGCCTCAGAAAATTCTGATGAACCGTAAGGCTCAATGACTTATGCAGAGTAAGTTATATAAAAATGCTGTCTTACCAATGTAACCAACCCTGGAGATGTTTTCTAAGAGAATATGAGGAAACTACTGTCAATATATTTTTAAAACTAAATTTATATTTTTCATCTTAACTCTTGTTACACAAAAAAATGTGGATAGTGGTTTCAAAGATGTAAAAAGAAATATAAAATATTCCTTTAGTAGTAAAATGCTTACATTTGGAAGTAACATGAATTGGTATTATCTTTTGAAAGGGAATTTGGCAACATATAAAATTTTATGCATCCATATTCTTTGATAAAAGCAATTCAGCTTTCAGAAATGTATTCAATTTGTACTTTTACAACTGCACAAGGGCCCAAAGATACATCTACAAAGCTACTTATGATGGAATTATTTTTAATAATGGAAAACTGGAAGTAGCCTAAATATCCATCAATGAGGAACTGGTTAAATAACCTAGAATAGAACCTTTTGATGATAGGAGAGGCATTAAAAAGAATTAGGTAGATCTGTATATGTTAACCTGAAAAGTAACCAAAGATATAATGCTAACAAAGAGAAAAAAAGAAGGCAAGTTGTAAAAAAGTGTGTAATACATGCAATTTTGTAAAAGTTAAAAAATATATACACATGTATTTTTAAACATATGATTGGCTACATAGAGAAAGTCTCTGAAAGGATAAACAAGATATGTTAAACAATGGCTTCCTCTAGAGGTCAGAATTTAAAAACTAAGGTAGCAGGGAAATTTTTTTTTTTTTTTTTTTTTTTTTTTTTTGGTGTAAAGATTTTGCTTTAATTAAAATTAAACAAATAATAGAATTTTACTTTTTTAAGAAAATAATTAAAAGTAATTTAAAAATATATTCCTATGGTGAATTAATGGTAAATCAAGTAGTTATGTTGCTTTTCTTGAAGATTTGAAAAATATAATGGCTTTCTGTAAAACTTAGGATATAATGTAAATTTAGTATTCTACTAAACATGAAATGAAGATATATAAAGAGAACCAAAATCTTAAAGTATATTTGGGATATACTGTGTTTTTATTTCCCTTAAATCACATTGCCTTAATTCTAAATTATGTTAGTGAAACAAGATGTCCCTGAAGCATTCCCATGAACATGGGAGAAAATGTATTTTCCAATGAACATCTGAGGATCCAAAACTGTCATGGGTTGTTTTGTGGGCTTCTCATCTAATCTTTATTGGCTCCTTATTCTTGCCATCAGCGGAAGAAAAAAAAGGGGTGAAAAGTAGCCAGATCAGAAGGGATAACTAAAAACCACTGTTCACACTGAATCTTAGATGGAGACTGTGAAATATAAATAAGTGTGTGAACTAAAAAATTAATTCTCTAAAGGTCAGCTGAAGAAATAAATATCAAATTACTTGGTATTAATATTCAATTCTAAGCTATTTGATATTAATATTCTTTAAAAAAAAACTAAGCCCGATACTGCAGAATTCAACAGAAGGTAATTTTCTTTCTTTTCATTTTTCTAAAGAAAATATAAGGAAGCTAAATTGGAGATTACCTTAAGTGTATTCACTTCTTCCAAGGCATCATTTCTTTCATGCTTAAGCCTTTCCATTTCATCTGCTTCTAAGGAATCACAGGGAAGAAGCTGTCAACATTAAAATATAAGAGAAAAGTTATACATTAGATACTAATTATGAGAACATAAAAATCCTTTTTGATGAGTCTTAGGCTTTTGCATTCCAATAACAAGATTCAGTTTCTTACTTTGGAGTCATTTCATTAGATAAAAGAGAATATTAAAATAATCTGGGGTAACTTAATTCATTTAAGCTTAACCTTATATTTTTGTTACTAATACAGAATTTAGATGATTATGAGATATACACACTCTGGTCTCATCTTTATTATTCTTATTTTAACAGTATAATTTTTCCTTAAAGTCCAAATTTTAAGACTGTGTTTATAATGTATGTGTTTATATGTGTGTGTGTGTGTGTGTGTGTGTGTGTGTATACACACACAATGGAATATTACTCAGCCATAAATATAAATGAAATAATGCCATTTGCAGCAATGTGGATGGACATAGAGAATATTATGCTTAGTGAAATAAGTCAGAAGAAAGGCAAATACTATATGATATCACTTACATGTGGAGTCTAAAAAATAAAACAAATGAATGTATATGTAAAACAGAAACAGAGTCACAGACATAGAAAACAAACTTGTGGTTACTTAAAGGGAGAGGGAAGCGGGGAGGGACAAATTAGGGGTATTAACAGGGATTAGGGATTAACAGATACAAAGTACTATATATAAAATAGATAAGCAACAAGGATATACTGTATAGCACAGAGAATTATACCCAGATTCTTGTAATAACCTATAATGGAATATAATCTGGAAAATACTGAATCACTATGTTGTATACCTGAAACTAACACAATATTGTAAATCAACTATACTTCAATTAAAAAGACTTTATGAGTTATCAACATAAACTACTCCTTCAAGATGTCCACACCAAGTACATGGTATATAAGGCTAACAAAATGCTGGACATTATCAACCAAGATAGTTTACAGGAACCCAGTAAAGTACATTAATTGATTATGCCTATTATTGTTTTAACTAAATGAAATATAATGTAACAGCCAAAGTGGCTTAAAAAGATTCCTGCACAGAAACTGTCTTGAAGATAATATTAATTCATGCACAGGTGAATAACAACAACAAAAAATAGCAGAAATGACAATTTCTCTTACTTCTAGCTTGATCTCTGACAGTTAATTATAAGGTTAAAAAAAATGGCAATCTTATCAGAGATAAAAATCCAATTCTAATTATAGCCATCTTCTATGCAGAAGTTATAATAGAACTAAAAATAAAGTATAGAAAATATGATTTATAGGACCGAATAGAGAAAGTGATTGCTATATAAGTATGAGCTTTAAAGCAGGGCTCTTCAGATAGGAGAGGTGAATGCAAAGTAGGAAAGGATCATACAAATAGTTAATAATATCAACCATTTACTAGGAACTTTGTGCAGATACATTGCTAAGGACTGTATATATTCAATATTAAATCCTTACCATAACTTTGTGTCTATTTTACATGAGGGAATGGGCTCAAAAGGTTAGTAAAATGCCTAAGGTTTCACAGCTAGTAAGTGGCCATTCCAAGATTCCCACAGAGATCTGACATTAGTCTGTGATTTTTACTAACTGCTCAACAAAAAATCATGGTCGTATGGATATGATAAATTCAGATTTGCTTTCCAAGTCTTAGAATAACAGAAGTTGGGGTCACTCCTCAAGTTTTTGCAGAAATATTTTCCCTAAAATTATTGGTTCCTTTTGTTCTGACACATTTGCTTTTGTGTACCTATGGCCATTGTCCATAATAACATGATCTCATATTCTTCATCTGTCTCTGTCATTCTATTTCATAAGTAGTCACAGAATTCATTCTTACACTGTTTTAGGTTACTTCCAAATACAATTTCACATGTAGCAATATTTTCCAAAATGTGTTCCAAAGGATATTAATTAGATTTGTATAAAAGCATAACTGGATGATGGTGATGGTGATAGTGGTCCTTGTAGGTCAGATAAGTTAGAGAAATGCAGGATTTAGAAAAAATTAACTTTCTTTCCTGCAGGGCTTCCAGTAGTTTTGATATGCTAATAAGCATTTTGAATATCCCAAAAGGTAACATAATGACTTGTTTTCCTCAAGTTTTCCAACCATATTACACACACACACTCTCCTTTATTTTGTAGTATCTCATGGGACTAATGTCTACCAAGCACATTCTGGGAAACACTGCTACTATACATTCAGATGGTCTTATTCTATCTTGTTATCTTAAGAAGTAAAAATAATTCAGGAGTTTAAATGAGAATCTAGATAACAGAGCTATCATAATTTACTAAGATAAATTATGGATTGGGATTTTTAGGGATGTAATCACAAATTTTTGCATTTAAAATGAAGGTAAATCATGCATAAAAGAGTCCATGGTACCATTTGGGGAGGCAAAGCACTAGGCGACAGTCATAGAACACACCATGACTTCAAAAAAAAAGTTTTATAACTTTATTGCTATTTTAGGGCTAAACAGAAAAAAAACTGGCCATAGATATTACTTGTGAATTCTTTGAAAAGCCCCTTTGTACCCAGTGACTTTCCAAATATGCTTCAACTAAGCAAGCAGCAAATGAAATAAATAAATTGTTGCTATTTAACATCAATGATTCCAGACAGATACCTATTTTCTAATATACCTCCAGTTCTTGGACTTTATCCTCCTTTCCTGCCTGGCTCCCATGATATAATTTTCGACTCTCAGGCTCCTTGACCTCTGCGATACCTGGTACATAACATTATAAATCATTTCTACTCTGCTTTCTCACATCTCCTATGGAGATATCAAGAGGTACTTCAGAAAGTCACTGCACTGAGCTGAGCAAGTGTGACCTCAACTCTCCCTTCACTGTGCTCCATCATCATAATTTTTAAGTTACTTGACTTGTGCCAATTCTGGATAGCCACTATTGCACTGCCCACCTTCCTAGCCTCAATTCATTTTAAACAGAACAAAACAACAACCTCTGTTTCAGTCTAGTTTTATTGATAAACCCTTCCATTACGAATCCATCCAATTATGTCCTTTCCTTAAAATTTCTGTGTATTCCCCTTTTTCCCCTTCCATTTCCCCTGCTTACTCCTTTTACTTCTTATAATCTGGTTTACGTATCTTTCCTCCCATCCCCACATTTCAAAAATAATTACTTGTAGTGTCACCAAACAACCTGCTATTTGACAAAATAAATGCCTCTCATCAACTTTCTTAACCACTTTGCTACATATAACATTGCTCAAGCCATTTGTTCTTGAAACTTTCTCTTCCCTAGGTTTTTCATACTCCACTATCTCATCTACCCTCAGAATATTTAGGCTGTCTTGACTTAATTTCACTTCTACTCCTTAAATGGGGGAAAAGGGAGGTTCCCCAAAGTTTGTCCCTTTCCGCTGCCTTCTCTACAAGCTCTCCCTGAGTGATAATATTCACTGCCATGCTATCATAACTATCACCCTTCAGATCATTCTCAAATCCCTCTCCTGGTGCCCAGTTCCCTATTTCCAATTGCCTTTTGGTTATTTATACCTGTCAGCATCTTGAACTTACTATTTCCAAAACACAACCCATCACCTTCTCTACCTTTCTCTTCTTATTCTCTCTTTCCAGTAAAAGTAACAACATGTCATTAATCATCCGAATAAAAACTTCAGAGTTATCTTTAACTCATTCTCCCTTGGTTCTGACATCCAAATGCAAGCCTCATTGACGAGATACTTGTTTCAGTAAATATCTTAGATCTGTCTCACCATTCCTTTCCATTCTCCTCATCTTCACCATAGTTTAGCTCTTTATTATTCCATATTTGGTAGTCTAGACTACCAACCACCACGTTAATCCCTTCCAAGATAACCAACACTATTTAAGATTACTATTTCTAAAATACCACTTTGATCATGTCATTATCCTCCTTAATGGCTCCTCACTTAACACAGGTACAAATTTCTAAGTTTACTATTTACTCTTCCTTCACTGACCTGCATGTACCCAATTATCTTATTTAAAACATAGATTACTCTCTGCTTACCAACACATTATACACATTGTTTTTCATGCTAGTAAAAACGCTTATCATTCTCTGTTCACCTCTTGAGCAGATAAAATCCTATTTATCATTCAAAACTCACTCAAAAGCCAACTCTGTTATGAATCCTCTCTTAATGTTCTAAGCACTATTATTACTATGGCCTTATCACACAATGCATTTTTAAACTTTATTTGTAAATTTCTTTACATTATACCCTAAATTCCTTGAGGGGCAGGCTCCAGTTTTATTTATCTTAATAACATGTGCTGGAGCACCTAACACAATGCCACACACACTGTAGTTGTTCAATATACATTTAATGTTTTACAGATGAGTATATAGTGAAGTGGCTATAAAGTATTTACTGCTACACATAGTGAGAAATACCATTTATATCAGTGAAATATTATCATTCTTATTATATACAGTTCACTTTGATATTTTCCATTCTATTCTATTTCACTTGTTAAAATGCAATCCACTTAATTGATTTAACACGAACCCCAATTGTGAAAAGTCTACATTCAGATACTTATGGTGTTCTGTGATTTTAATATAATCCATTTATGATACTTGATTAGTGTGGTAAAGCCATCGCAATATCATGGACTACAGTCTGCTGTTGCTAATTTTAGAATACTGCTAGATGTAGGCTCCAACCTTGCCTTTTCTGTGTGTAATCTTGTGCCAGTCACAGGTATAGCACTGTGTGAATTTTTTAATATAGCAATGATGACTAGAATCACAGAAAGATAATTATATTTTTGCTTCTAAATGCCATATTATTCCAAAACCAAAAGTTTTTTGTCAACTAAACAAAAGTAGGACTGACTATACTGGCTCAGCAATTCTTTCTTCTTAAAAGATAGTATCTCAAGAAATCTTATGAGTCAGACAGAATGATCAGCAAATGAAGCTAGTTACAAAAGAGTACATACTGTATGATTCTTTTTTATTATTATTAATTTTTATTGGA